CTGCCACCTGGTTGTTATCTCCCGAGGGGTCCCAGACTACGAGAGGGCCCAGGCTGGGCTGAGAGACCCCCCCTTCTCCCCCAAGTGCACAAATTTTTCTGCACCGGGCCTCTAGTAGGAATATAAAATACTGAATACTACATGGGGAAGATGTTAGAGAAATTTCTTTCTTAAAAATAGGAGAGTCTAGGTTTCCACATTTTAACATAGTCCTTAAGAGGCTCTATAACTTTGCCATCAGTTTATCTTGAAAAATGAAATTAGAATTGATTTTTTCTTTATTAAGGTATTACAAATGTGTCCTTATCCCCCCACTGCCCTCCCACCCCACTCCCGTTTGTGCCCTCACACCCCTGGTTTCTGTGTCTAGAATTTCTTATTTCATAATCATTGAGGGAAAGTTTCAAACTTTATTCTGGTGGTTCTCAAACTTTGGTATGCATAAGAGTAATCTGGGAAATTGTTTAAAATGCAAACTCCTAGCCCCATGGCTAGAGTCTTATTTAGAGTGTCTGAGATTGGCCTAGAAATATGCATTTAAAAAAGAAACTCCCCAGATAATTTTGACCTTGCAATAAAAAATATAACTTAATTTTTAATACACTTGACTATTCTAAGAGATGAGCCATTAAGAATATAATGGACAATTATTGGATTTGATATACTAGGCCTGCATTTTTTTAAGTGCAACAATTCCAAAAATTGCCTAATACTACACTGTACACCTGAAACTAATAATATTGTATATTAACAGTAACTGAAAAATTAAAAAAGAATTAAAAATCACCAAAATATTGCATAGGATGATTACTTATTTATTCTTTCAAGTCATTCCTATAGTGTTTCTCTAAGAGGAATAAAGTTAAACAAAATTTAAACTTTGCATGAAACTCAAAATACAGTATTTAAGTATGCCAATATAGAAAAACTAAAAGCAAGCTGATATGTTCAAAATGCATCATTTAGGAAAATTTGACTTATATTATAATTGAATGGGGACTCCTCTTTTGTGTCTTTAAAATAAAAATCAAAGAAAGTTGCTTGTACTCATTAAAAGAAAAATCATTCCTAAACGTGCAAGTCCTTCATATACTCTACAAAATAAAAATTTTCTTTTTTTGAGGAACTTAATTTTTGTGGTATTAAGTATAAAAGTTTGTTTTGTGCTACTGTATACGTAAAAGAAGAAAAAACTACTGATCTATTCAGTTAATGAAAGCCTTACCTGAGCAATTGATTCTGTTTGCAAATGAGCTCGAGATCCACATGCAATAGCCATTTGATCCTGAAGAAAAAGCAATTATAGGTTTCAATATTTAAATATCATTAATAAAAATATTTATTTCCAAAGTGAATATTTTGAAAAGTGAATTTTTTAGAAACTAACTTTTTGAGAAAGTAACATTAAATATCATTAAAGAAGTTTATTGAGGAGTTTAGAATATGTAGTTTCAAGAAGCCTAATTAAACTTACTAAGAGGATACTATTAAGGGGTAAAGATTACTTAGGGGCATGTATTACTTCAAAATTCGTAAAAAAATTTTTCTGATTAAAAATACCATCCTTCCAAAACCGGTTTGGCTCAGTGGATAGAGTGTCGGCCTGCGGACTGAAAGGTCCCAGGTTCGATTCGGGTCAAGGGCATGTGCCTGGGTTGTGGGCACATCCCCGGTGGGGGATGTGCAGGAGGCAGCTGATCGATGTTTCTCTCTCATCGATGTTTCTGACTATCTCTCTCCCTTCCTCTCTGTAAAAAGTCAATAAAATATATTAAAAAAAATACCATCCTATATAATAAACAGGTAATATGCAAATTAACTCTCATACCATAACACCATCACAAGATGGAAGTGCACACAGCAAGGGCGGGGCTGGCTGCTCTGTGCACCTGCCGCCACAGTTCTTGCAGCCCTGTGGGGAGGCAGGAGGCCCGGCAGCTGCTCTGCGAACCTGATGCTGGGGTTCCCATGGCCGAACCAGCGGGCGGGGCCCAGCTGCAGGTGTGTGGCTTCCTTGGAGTTCCCCGGGCACTGCCGGGGGGCGGGTCCTGGCTGCTGCTCTGTGCGGTTTCCACCAGGGTGACCAGTCTGGCAGGTGAGAGCAGTTGGGGGTGATCGGGCCAGGACAGGAGGGCAGCTGGTGGCTATCGGGCCATCAGGGAAGGGAAATTGGGGAGACTGAGCTGGCAGGGGAAGGCAGTTGGGGGCGACTGGGCCAGAAGGGGAGAAGTTAGGGGGTGATCAGGCTGGCAGGCAGAAGCAGTTACGGGCAACCATGAAGGCAGGCAGGAAAGCGGTTAGGAGCCAGCAGTCCCAGATTGTGAGAGGACTGTCGGACATCCCCGAAGGTGTCCCAGATTGGAGGGGGTGTAGGCTGGAATGAGGGACACCCCGCCCCCAGTGCACGAATTTTGTGCACTAGGCCTCTAGTGTTAATCTAATCTAATAAAATAGAAACATGGTAATTGGCGTACGACCGCTATCTTCCCATTGGCTAATCAGGGAGATATGCAAATTAACTGTCAGCCAAGATGGTGGCCGGCAGCCAGGCAGCTTGAAACTAACATGAGGCTTGCTTG